AAGTCTGTGTAATATATAGAATTCAGAAAGAATTTGACAGTAGAGATTTTCATTTACACCTCTGAGGTAACTGGCTGAGCGGAGTGAAGTGAATATCTCATGCTGCAATTAAAGATGTGAAATCAGCACATTTTGGCCTCAGAGTCACAGAAAAGCAGCCTTGTGATCTGATGCTGCTGCCCCAGTTTCCAGCATGCAATCAGTGGTGAAGTATGATGACATGTCTCTCTCTATCTATCTATCTCTTGGTCTCCATGGAGTTTAATAGAGTAGCTGCCAAGTGAGTCCTGTCTATCTGTAGGCCGTTTCCTTTTGTATACACACAAACACACCCACTAAACAAGGCTGCATTGGCTCTCATTGCCGCTCGGACTGTGTTCATGGTTGAATAGAGCACTGCTACATCATAACAACAGCTGAGAGTGTGGCAGGAAGGTGACTGAACACGTGTGCTGGATATGTATATGACTCAATTTTGTTGATTTGTATGTGCGTTTATGTGTGTATATACACATATGTAAAATCACGTCTATGTCCATATCTACAGTATAAATTGGTATTCCATGTGTTATCTGCTTGTTTTGTCACATTTAAGCCTCCTCACTCCCCCCAGAATTACGCCTGTCAATAAAACCAATGATAGGAAGCTTCACTGGCTTGTAATAACCTGTCCTTTTGGCGGATGTACATAGCAGCACTGTAAGGGTTTTAACCATTTTTCCATCAGACGCAAGTTAATATCAGGCAAGTTTACCAACTATGGTTGAATTTCCTAACCCTCTGTCAGCACTTCAAGGTATTCATAGGATAGGTATGGAAACTATTACCAAGAACATAGAAAAAATGTGCCCACTTTTTTCACAGATAATATAACTAGTTTGACAAGTTTGAAACATTGACGTAGTACCTCACAACTATTTTCTGTTTATCTGAAGAGGTCTCTCAGTTGATACTGTGTGCAGATTTTCAACAAAGCTAGAAATCTGACTGTTGTTGTGTACCCAGTTTTGATTAAATGTTGTATTTGGAATAATAATCTGTTTCCAAGCCTTGTTGGCCAAATAATATTGAATATTTTGAATGTCATGACATAGTTGTTTTGTTAAATGTCTACTCTAAAATCTATTCCTAAAATAAAAGTCAAAGCCAGGTTCCAACCTAAATGTATGCATACATTACTAATTACCATTATGAAAGATGTATACCATGTTACACTGCTATAGTCAAAAAAGGGCTGTTGCATGTTGGGTTCCTGTAACACTGTTTATTAACTGATCTCACACTGGGTTGCTACTGTCATACCAGACAGCTTATTTAGAGTTGTTAATTTTTTATGTCTAAGCAGTGGTGAGAAGTTCATATGCTTTAAACTACACATACACTGTCTAGTTAGAGAAGTTATTTTTGCCAGAATATAAATGCTTTGATGAGGATGTCACTCGAGGGTGTCAGTGATGTTAAGGGCTGCAGGCAACAAGAACAAGGTCATGCTCAGAAACTCTCCTTTATAAAAGACAGCTAGTCTCTAGAGACAAGCAGTAGGACTCAATTGTGTCACATGAAACGTGACTCCACTGGCTTATATTCCTTTAGGATAGACCCCACCAAGAGCAGCCCAGGATCTGTATAGAGGACAACACAAACCAGCTACATTGTGCAGTGTGGTGTAATTTTATGCTTGTCATCCCATGTCTAGCTAGGATATACTGCCCCATAGAATGTGATTTAATTGCTGCATTGTCTTAATAAAAAAAAAAACAAAAAAAAAAAAAACAGGCCAAAGAGTCCACATTGAAACCTGAATCAAGGCATGTGAGTCAGCCCCATGCTAAACAATAACGGCATGTCCAGTTACAGTACTTGATTTGGCATTCCAACACTACCCTTGTGAGTTGGTGACGTCATTTTCTTCAGAACTTTCTTGTAAGTTGAATAGATCTAGTATCTGTTTTTAGAAACAGAATAAGGTCATCTGCATAGTGCCCAGCCCTATAATTTTCAACGTGGCTGTAAAGCTTTATAGTCACTACCAGACTTCTTACATTTCAGTTTTAGCTTGTTACAAGAGAGAAAACTATGCACTTATTATATACACCTAACGAGGTAGCAAGATACAGTATATGCGGCAATAAATCAGGTATAGGTATTGGGAAAAGCACAGCAAAAATGCAACAGTTCGAGTAAATCAAGTTCATTTTCAATAAACTTTATTTTTATCCTATTTCCCTCCCAAATATGTTACATACAAAAAGTGATTGGAATTGAACATCTTTGTGTCAAGACCGTAACATTTACACAATAAATAAAAAACATGTATAAATAAAAAATAAATAAACAGGACATTATGTGCCAAAAAATAAAGACTCTTCTGAATTGGCAGATGGCTTTCACAATGTTGGTTTTTGAAAACACATGTACGTAATACTTGCATTCCAGGTCACAGTTTTTAGGGTACAACTCTGGGTCGAGAAAGCAATGTAAACCGATAAGGATTACAGTACAGTACAGTACAGTACAACAGAGCACAATGTTTTCTTTTTTCCTTAGTAGATATTACTGGGATATATACTTGTGATACCAGTTGTTCTAAAAGCTTATACCAGGTAGTGAGTGTAGTGCTATTGGACTTACTTTTAAACTTGGCTTAAAGTACAAGAGTAAATCCCACTGTAAAACCCATCTCAAATCCTTGTTTGTATCCAGCTTGACATTCACAAAGGGTTGTTATTGCACTATACAGACATCCCTCAGAAAGGCACTTTTATCCCCCCTCCCCACCCTCATTTTCCAACCAACAGTTGTTTACCAGCACATGTGTGGCGCACACACACTCACCTATTGTATGTGAATTTAAAAAACTGAATAATTTTAAAAACCAACAAAGAAAATGCCGTTTGGTATCTAGTTAAAAACAAATAAAATATTACAAGTGGTAGTAAAATGTTTTGCGTTCCAGATAAATTCACAAAAGAAAAGTGCAAAATTGTGTTGCTCCCATAGCCCCTATAGTATGCCGTGTACCATTTCAGTGAAATTTGATTCTAACAACTAACAACTAACAGGAAAAAAATAAAAATAAAACAAAAGACAAAAGTGATGTTGGAGGAGAAGCAGCAATGACTTCTCCAAACATTACCATCACCATCATCAAATAAGGCCAGGAATGTTATTTGTGCATGTGAGGTCAAGATCGTAGTGTGATCCTATAGCTGGCTCATTTTTTTCTTTTAAATAAGAAAAAAATAAAAAAAATAAAATAAATGAATGTGTGCACCATAGTCTAAAGAGGCCAGAAACCAACCGAGGGTAGGAGGGTCTCTCTCGTCAAACTACAGTTCTCAAAGCATCTCTGCTGTAACATCACAGTTCCAGTGCAAGTCAACGCCATAAATTACCTTGCTGCTAAAATACTTTCGGAAAAAACTGAGCCTAGAAGCCTTCCAGCTACAAGATTATTCCTGTTCCGTTGCAAGCAAATAAGACAATTTTAGTGTTTCGATACCTTTGAGAAACCATGCCTGGGTTATTGGCTATCAGGGAAGCTGAAAGCTGCAGGGTTGGTTGGCGGCTTTGAAAGATCCAGCCAAGAAGCAGTGGTTTTGAGTGAGTGAGGGAAGGTGAATTGGGAGTTTGGGTGTTCATTTAGGCATCTGCCTTTGAGGGATCCATCATTTCAGGCCAGGTAGGAGTCTTAGGTATCAATACCTTCCAGGTGGATACCTTTGAGGCATAAGCTGGACAGGCACAAACCCTTGGGGCAGATGCTGCATTGGGCAACTTCCTGACTGCTTGATGTTTGTCAAGGTCAATCAATCTGATAATCAAATGCCAAAGCACCAGTCCAAAGAATATTTGCTCAACTTCTGAGTCTTCCATTGGTCAACTGAACAGGTGTCAGCTCCTTGCAGCACTGCCTCGAGAAATTATATCAGCCAGTCGGGCTGCCAAAGAAGGTGTTAACCAGTCAGACTGCCTCTAAGGCATCTGCCAATCAGGCAGCCTGGGAGGCACGGAGATGTGCCCTCAGGCATCAGCATGGTGTTGGAGCAGCTGGACCACATATCGCAGCCGGTGTCTTAGCTCGGAGGTGCAGCCCATCTCAATCAGCATGCTGAGGAGGTAAGTGTATGAGACGCGTTCCCGGCTGATGTAGGTAAGTAGGTACGAGTCATCAGCTGACTTGCACAGGATGATCTTTGTGTGGTCTGTGTAGAAGTTAACCTGGAAAGGGTTAAAACAGAGCATAAGGTAAGCGTTACGAAGCTGGGTAAACCACATCTACCTTTGTTTACACTTTAAAAATCTCTCTAAATATAGAATTTATTAGCCTTTTCTAACCTGTAGAGTGCCATTGTTGAAGAGCATGACCAGAGCATGGTCAGTCTTCACCCACTGAAGCAGCAGAGGAGGAGGACCTGAGACTTGCTCCTCACAGTGCAGATCTCCACCCTGAAGAGGACAGAACATATTTTGTTTAAATCCCAGGATGTCACATTAAATAATTGTCCAATTGCACTTTAAAAATCTACAAAAGTTTGGTAAAGGGTTTGTCTTCTCTCAGCATATACCTTAAATCATTACAGAATTCAGTGCATACAGTTATTTGGGGTTTGACTAATCAAAATAATGGCTGCAAATTAACCACTTTGCTCATACCTCCATAAGGTTCTGCTCCATGTAATTTGCCATGAGCTCCACAATTTGTTTCTGGCTGCGAAGCTGCTCAGGTAGAGAGTTGGTAGCAAAAGTGAAGTGTTTGTTGTTGGTCAAGCAGTAGTGGACTGTCCTGTTTAGAGAGAAAGAAAACCTTTTAAAAAACCCCACATAATTTAAAGTGTTCTGATTTGTTTCAAAAGTTGTCTTCAAATTTAATTTTAATGAATGACCAAAAATGTTAATAGCTTGGCTATGTGGAAACTAGTTAAGTATAACGCATTGAATCAGTTCAGTTACTTGGCTTAGTCTAGTCAAAGTAATCAAGAAGTTCTAAGCTGTTTACATGACAGCTTAAGTAAATACTGTAGCTCTTAAGATACTTACTTGCGTTGGTTACAAAGACTGAGATGTGTTCCCTCATTGAAAAGCACACCAATGCTTTGGTTTGAGAGCTGGTAGCCAAAACCATATTTGTTTGAGTAGTCAACCCACTTAGTCACCCACAGGAAGGACTGTGGCCTGGACAAACAGGGTGGGTTCCTAGTGGCTGGAGAGATAAAAATAATCAAGTTTAGGATTATGGAACAATATCAAGCACAGAAAGTAACTGTATTCAAGATTGGTGGCATTTTTGTAAAACGCTGACTTAAATAAATACAATGTTAAGAAAGCTGTAAGATGTAAGGTGCTCTAGGCTACATGAGTCAGCAGATATTCAGAGGATGTAAAGGCAAAGAAACGTTCTGGTTGATTAAACTTGAATGATTCTGCAAAAACAGAATGTAAGCTGGTTCATGTTGGGGGGAGCTGCATTTTTTTGGCATGCCGTTTTGGTGCTCTGTAATCTCAGATGCAAAGATTTAAATATGTAACTCAGCATTTTCATTACCATGAGGTTAAACATGGCGATCTGACATGCCAATTAATATTATGCTGTAGTCCAAAAGTGCTCTTGTGGTCTTAATAGCTCAGTCTAATGCCTACCTGCAGGCATGGTAGCCAGGCAGCCGTTGAGAACTTTCAATGCCGATTCAGCAAGAGCTGCAGGGCTCAGGACGTCTTCACAGGCTGGAGAGAAAACCAGAAGTTCGTTAGATCACCATAAAAGACAAAAAGGAATTAAAAATGCACTGAATATATCTACTCAGATCAAAAGTATTGGGCCTTACGTTCAGTGCTGCTGGCCATTGTGCCCTTGAAGGAGCGCGAGATTGACTTCCTGGATTCCTCCTCAGCAGGAGTCTGTTCCAGAGGCACGGAGCTGACCAGCTGACTGGTGGGAGAGGGCACCTGAACAACAAAAGATATGATTTAACACATCGAAAGAGTAAGAGCACAAGATGAAGTGAGAAGAAACAAAACACGACATGCCAAAAAAGGTAACCACAGAATTAAGAAGAACTGCATGAGAACTGCATGAGACATTCTGCAACTGCTCTATTAATGTTTGCTTAGCTTGCTTAGCATTCATGGGTCTAAAATAACACAGCCTCTATTGTTTTTTGTGCACCTTATTGCCACTGCACTGGGGTGAAATTACTTTTAGTACTACAGTTTCCTTGCCAGCATACTGCAGGTGTGATATGCAGTTTCTAATGTCATGTGACCACAAAGCAGTTTCTGAACATAATGTTTTTCTACAAACATGCATGCAAAAAAAGGGTTCCTCTGTGAGCTACCTTGTGTAGTCAGAAAACGAAACAAAAACAATCCAGCTGATGTTTCTTGACTACAACCTGGTTTCTCAGCACAAGCTCATTATGAAGCTGACAAAGAAATATTCACACCAAAGCGCAAACAACGCAGTTCCTATTGGGCTCTATAAATAGCAGCTAGACCAGTCTGATTAGGGATTGGCCAACTGAACTTCCTGCTGTTGTGGCATTTAGTCACTCACAGCTGAAGCTTGCTAAAATGAATACACTAGTCTGTAGTAGGATTAAAATTACGTAGTAGAGAAAAAAGGACAATGGGTTTTGCCTGTTATGCAGTAACATTTCCTCTATACTAGAAAAACTGGCCTCAATAAGTCTAATGTACTTCTGTTCCTCACTAAATATTAACAGCTACCACCAACAAACTGTGCAACATCTCTCATCTAAATTTCGCTTATCTGTTGACAAGCTGAAGGACAGGGACAATACAGAATCTTACACTGCAATCTCAGTGAAACAAAGCTAAATAACCAGAAAACGCATTTCTAAAAATCACTTTAAGAAGGACGATTCATTCGTATAATTAAAAACATGGCAGCCCCATAATCAGTCAGTCTAAGAATGTCTTTAAAGCTGGCATCTGCAATCCTATTCTGAGAACTCTCGTCGCATAATTAAACTGACATTTCAGTCGCCATATTTCCACTGAAGTGCCATTTTCTAAATGTTTTCTTGTTTAAATATGCTGCAAAGGTGTTAATCTTACTTCAAAACATGCCTAACAGATGTCATCTGCCATGAAATTATTAACTTCTGTGCTACTCGTCGGACTTTTATTACCTTCTTCATAGCTGGAATTACCCCATTTTGTTTCAAGTAAACAAAGCCCAAATTTTTTCCCCCCTTGCAAAAGTAGGACATGCACACAGAGATATTTACCTCATTGGGTCCCACTGTCTTGTAGCTGATCTGCCGATTGATGGAACATTTAACGATGCCTGACACCAGCTTGGAAATGTCTTTGTCATCTTTTTCCTCACATGGAATTTTCTCCACTGCAATATCAAGATTTGTGTATTTTAGTTACAATGTGTTTAACCACATGAGTGTTTATATACATACAGTAGCTCTTGGAAATGAAGGAAGGAAAAACTGAATACATTTTTAAACATCAGTTCTCATGAGACAAAACCAGATTAACAAGATGACAGGTGTTACATAATTACATTTGGGAAGAGAAATATCTAACAGATCTTCTACTAGATCTAGTCACTTGACTGCTGCTTACCTTTTGCTTTCTTTTTGCCAAAGAGGCTCTTGGCCATTTTAGTGAAGAATTTCTTAGCAGGGCTGGGGGGGTGGAGCTCTGGTACCATCGCACAGCTGCTGGGGGGAAGCTTATCAGGGGTGAAACCCTAGAGGAAGAAAAAAAAAGGCAGACAGGGAACAGACAAGACGATCTTTAGCTAATGGCAAAAGTATGCATAAATGGACAACGGTATCAAATCCCATCATTATTTCTTGAAATTGACGTGACTTTTGCGTACTTTGGTGAAGAACTCATGGTTGAGGATTTGATCCAGTGAGAGTCTGTCACTGGGGTTTTTCTGCAGGATGCCTGAGATGAGTTTCTGTGCTGCAGGAGAGAGCGTGGATGGCAAGTTGTACCGAACTTCTTTTATACACTTGTAGGTCTCCTTCAGGTCTAGAGTCTCAAAAGGAGGGTTGCCGCACATCAGCGTGTACCTGAATGGGATAAACCAAAACCATTGATCAACAAATTATGATTTAGATTTAAACAAACAATCTCAGAGGTTGTCCTTTTTTAAAAAAATAAATAAAATAACATAAAATGAAGCTTAAATGAAGCCAAAACATGTACTGCACAAATGTTATTTTACACAACTGAACCACATTAAATAACTTTAAGTTGAAATTAGCCAAAACTCACATGACACATCCGAGGGACCAGACGTCAGACTCTGTGCCATGGCCCTGTCTGTTGAGCACCTCAGGGGCCAAGTAGTTCGGAGTCCCACAGATTGTTCTGGGAACAACAAGTACATGACAGATTAAATACTGAAGATTACTTTGTTCTGTGGTGGATGGTGTCAAACAGGTACTGAAACTGAATGTTGCATTCAACTGCCACTTGGAAACTGGTTTAGTTAGGTACTTACTGAGGGAAAGCAGTGGGAGGAAGTATGTGTGCTTAGTAGCTGACGTAATGGTTTTAAGTGATTGTGCATTATGGAAGCCCTGGAAAAAAGGTCCAAGACTCTTAATGTTCAGGTTTTAGGGAGTTATGTTTATGTATAGAAGCAATGTTTTTTTTTATTTTAAAGTTAAATAAGTTTATATAAAGACAATTGTTTGTTGAAATAATTTGAATGTTCCGATATCAGTCTCTTCAGTCTGAGAGATTGTGTCTACCTCAATTTAAAAAAAAAAAAATGCATAGTAGTATTTAAAAATTCTAACTTTTTCCTCTGCTCGACTGTCTCCAGCTTGGCAGCGAGGCCGAAGTCTCCCAGTCGCAGCTCCATGTTCTCGTTGACAAAGAAGTTGCCTGAAAGAGAACATTTGTCCAGTCAGCATTCCACAGATAACATGTGCCTGTCCAAAGTCACAGCAGATTCCTGGGATGCTTTGCGTGCATGTGCGCCACATACCTAGTTTGAGATCTCTGTGCAGGATCCCTCTGCTGTGGAGGTACTTGAGGCCGGATATGATCTGTTTGAGGTAATAACGCACTTCTGGCTCTGTGAGCGTGTGTCTTGCCTTCCAAATGTGTGCCAGGGACTGCAGAGAGAGCAATGAGTGAACCGTCAACCCTGCATCAGTCAGTGGACTGAATATAATGGGTATGGTCTATTATTTCACTGGAGCAATACAAGGCAAAATGTATATGTGCAAGCAAAGCCCATCCAAGCTGTGCAGACTGTTAAGCTTTATGAAGTCTCACCTTCCGACTGCAGAGCTCGAGGAATATGTAGATGTTTTCTTGGTCTTCAAAATGATGAGAGAATTTCACCACATGCTTGTGCGACAGGGTTTTGTGGAGCTCAATCTCATTCGTTATCTGTTAAAAAAAAATAATTAAAATTGACAGTCCATCAAATTTGTGTGCATATTTCCAACCCTAAAAACACAACACCTCTCTGCCAGACATACTGAAATATAAACAAGCATGATGGTGTACCTTGTCCCTCTGGTGCGGTTTGGACACCCTGCTCTGCGGAATCACCTTCACAGCATACATTTTGTTGTTGGAGAGGTCTGTCATCTCGTAACATCGAGCAAAGCCGCCCTTGGGGGGAGACAGACAGGATGATCAGTTAACAAAAGCAGCAGGTTGAAAACCTGCAATGGCCATAAATAATCTGCCTCAACGTCTTCGAACCGAGAATCAAAATAGCTGTACAGCAAACAAAATGGTTTGACAATTTAGCCAATTGTGAAAGGCTGGTGTGGCCAAGGAAATAACAAATCATGGATCAAACATTACAGGGTTAACTCTATTCTGATGAATCATTTTGTGATCAAGATGATCAATTGACCAGCATCTTTTGTTGCCTTGGATGCTCTCATGATTCTCAAACCGACAAGCAACCCCAAATATCATGTTCACTGCTGCGTATTCATGCACATTTCTTGATGCAATCAAGACTTTAAAAAGGCTGGAGGACATGAGGGATGAGGCAGACCGAGCTGCTGCATTCATTAACCATGAAACTGACGGAGACGTTTCCAGCTCTGCGGCAGGCAGCAGAGGAGAAAAAAATAAAAAAAATAAATAAAGGTTTGGCTGGCTGCCCGACGCAGCGTATCGTTGACGAGCAACATGTTGATACAGTCACTCCATTCATACATCGCACATACTGTGTGAAAATCATTACAGCGGGGGACATGGGAGGGGAGCGGAACCGTGGTAGAGTCAGAGGCAGATGGATTTGTGGCTGTCTGAGTGAGATGACAATAAAATGCGAGGATTCATACAAACAATTACTCGGCTTTATAAAAAAGGTGATGCCAATCATGTGTGCGCACAGGAGCCGGGCACACCTTGCGCCTGATTCATTCAGCAGTGACGCGTACAGCGGTGAGAGATTGGCCACCACGAGGTCATTTCCTATTCCCGCATTACTAACACACCTGGAAAACAGCCAGTCATTTAATTTTAATCATCCACAGCTTCAGTATCACCCTAAACCAGCGACTCTTTAACACAGATTCTGATAAACACCTCAGAGATCCCTGTGGTGAAGCGAGAGGAGCACATGTAACATTTAAATCGTCCTACCTTTCCCAAAAGCTTTCCTTTACTGTAGGTCCTTCCCGTCTTGGAGTCTGTCACCACCTGGGCCAGCTCTGGTTTGGTTTGTTCGGGTTTATTCCTGCTGGTTTTCACCGGGGCAGAGGACTGTTGGGGTCCACGCTCAGGAACAGGCTTAAATAATTCCGCATTCATGGTGTGGCACGAAATACGCTGCGCCGCGGTGAAACAACCGGTATCCATGTAGCGCAGCGGTGTGAACAATCAGTTCGTGTGTGTGTATATATATATATATATATATATATGTGTGTGTATAGATCCCTTTCGCCTTTTTTTGTCAGTAGTTTGTCTGGTACGTGCCGATGCGTCCACCTCGTCCAACTGTATCCATCTGATCGAGGTCTGTGACTCGCTGAGGTTTATATAGCGTCACTGAACAGGGGGCGGATGGGAGGTGGCGCACTGGTGGAGAAAGTCCAGACGATTTGCTCAGACACTGTCCCAATCAAAAACTGATCTGGAATGTAAGAAAAAAAAACATGAATGAAAAATCTCATGAAAAATAATCGATGTGTGTCACGTTGATGTGGCTCATGTGCTACTGTGAGGCCAATGACACGCTGTAACCCGGGCAGGCAGACAGACAGGCAGACAGACAGACAGGCAGGCGGTGAGGGGGGGTTTCCAACGTGTTGCATGTTTCAATCTACAGACTACATCCCTGAGTCTTTATTCTGATGCGAATTTTAAAAGCAGATCCTCCTTTAGTTAATCTCTCCTGGGCTCTTATCTTTGGCACTTTCTTAAAAAGGGAGATTGTGTTAATTGTGTGTGTGTGTGTGTGTGTGAATGTCTAACCGAGCGTGGACTTATTTATAACTTTTCTCAGTGAGAAATGCGTTGCAGTGGTTCTTCCCCAGGAGCTCTGATGATTTACAGTTCACCACATTCACTCACGCGTCTCTGGGAGGTTACTATGTAAACACATAAACACGGATCAACGTATCACCTGGACAGATCTAATGTGGAAACATATTCCGAGCAGCCATATTTCCGTGGAAATATTACAACGGTTCATATAATATGACCCCGATCTGTTTGTCCAAATGAATAAGGACTCATAAATTATTTTGGACCTCCAGATAATAAAAATGAATGAGCCTGATAATTGATTTTAGCAAAACTGCTGACGAAGAATTGAGTTTGTTATTCTGCCAAACCCTTCGTGAATCCTACAAAATAAAAGCTCACATTTCTACAGTAAAATCGTGGCTTAGATTTCCCCCGTGTGTGTGTGTGTGTGAGCGCGCGTGTTATGATCCCCAGAGTAACCCATGCGAAATACTGATCGCTGCTGCCACCTGGTGGACAAAACGTGCAGCTCGACAGTTCATGCCCTGTAAATAACATAAAACTTTGAATTCAGTCTGAGATGTGCTGTGACTGTCTCTAGGACCGGGACAGGCCATGAACCATTACACGCTGTACTGCATTACCCACAATAATCTAGGTGATCTGGTGAAGGATTATATGGATGCACAAAACCCTGTCGCACATGGATTTTGGAGTTTCAAAAATAGATTATAATTAAGCTTAAATAGTCAGTCCCTTGAAAAAAAAATAAACTTCTTTGAGCAGGCAGCTCTCTGTGATCGCATATCGAAATCATGACTAGCCAAATCTAATAAATGGTTGGTTAAAACATTGAATAAAATCTGTTCCGATCTCAAAACCAGAAGACAAACAAAGAAGAGGCAAAGAAGAGTCGGTTCAAAATGTATATTTGTGAGCACTTCATGAACAACCTGAGGGTGGGCAACAATACGTATAAGGTGAACACATGAGCCAGAGTAAAATAATCAAAACATGAACAGTGCAACTGTAAATAGAAATTATAGTAGAAAAAGAGTCAAATTAAGGAATTACAAAGAATGTGTTCTAGAGTATTATACTATGCAACAGGAATGGGTAAAATACAGACCCATGCAGTGATGCAAATTATTAAATGATGCATGGGTAGAACTGTCTTTGCAGCTGTCATCTGAACTATTTATGGAATAACAACAAATAAAAGGCTGATATAAAGACTTAAAAAGAAGTCAGAAGAGCCCTCTGGTTGTGTCTTTTAAAGGAACATGAGCATGACTGGCAAAAGTACACACGGAAACATCTTAAATATCAGCTCAGTTTAGCTGCACAGGAACAATATCAAGATGAGACTTTACAGACCCTGGTCAAATTTAAACTATGTAGCACTGACAGAGATTTAGCTCAAGAAAAATAATTGCATTGTGGTACTTTAACCCATTCAATCTGGCTTTACCAAAAATAAAGTGATGAAACTGTGTGATTTCTTGCTGTGTTAAGGTTGCCATCTGCTGGACAGTGGCCATATGTTCGTATGGGCATTTGCTGTGGGATTTATTGAGAGGTTTGTGCATTATGTCCCATGACTATCAGAACACCAGGGCTGCATACTAATTTCTAGAGTTTGTGGAAATATGATTTTATATATTGGACTTTAGGTTCAACCCCTAACATTTAATATTCAAGTCATGTCAGCTTGGTCCTGCTGTGGAAAAGCAGTGAGAGCAGTTCAGAGGTCCATCATGCCCTCTCCTCGTATTTTCTTCTCTTGGGACTCCGACCAGGCTTTGTTGATGGTTCTCTTCATCTCGTCATCTCCCTCTGAGTAAATTTTCTTCAGCATGGTCATCAGGCCGTCACTGGGGTCTGCATTGTCATCTACATTGGGTTTACTGTTGAGGGACGGTAAGATAACATTTTGTTTATCAGAATAGTGGGATACCCAGGCTGCATTATATACAGTGTACTAGTACAGAGATATGGTACTGCACTTTAATAAGCAGGCTGCTGCATGTTTGAGACAGCTGTTTGGAGTCATTTATGGGGTGCTGTTTGTAAAGCGGCTCACGCTGAAAATAACAGCAACGTTTTGTCACATTTAGCTTCGAACAATGTTTAAAAAACTGGTATGGATTTTTGAGGGGACACTTTTTTGCACATTTACAACAATATT